ATCAATTGTCCACAGATTATCCCCAGTGGTGCAAGCCTGGCACAGTACACTCAAATTTTGGTTGGGCAAGATTATGAGAATATATTCAAATATGATATTAAATCTGCAAGCACAACTTTGCCTGATTTAGAATTTTTGACCATTATTCCAATATAATTCCTGTACCTTAGGTACACAGTTGACCAGATAGGATTTTTCTATTTTGGTATCATTCATTTGATCATCTCTTTCATTGGACATGTTTTAGGATTAAGGTGGAAAGATCTCCTTGTGTAGTTAATACATGTCTTATGATATTAAAACTAGCTAGTTCACATCTCTCCAGAAGGCTTTCATTCATAAAGTCGCAATTTTAATCACTTCGAATCTGATCAGACATGTTTTTATTGCCACTCATCAGCTCACTTATTACAAGAGCCCTCCCTCAACTCAGCTCCTCAGGGTTTGGCTTTCGGTGCCTATAACTGGACACAATCCCATTTTCTCTGCGGTGCCCAAAGTTCACCAGTGATCCTGGTTTACCACCTGTCAGGTGGTAAGCAGTAGACTATATGCCAGTGTGTGGAGAGAACTTTGTATACAGGCCTGTTTCCACATCTGAACTATAGTCCTTTCTTTTTCATGGAAACTGGTCATACTCAACTAAGTGAGACTTTCCTTTAAATGTGACATTTCTGACATGATCTTTGTTCCATACCTAGAAACAGAAGAGCTACTGAACCACTGCATATCACTACACTGATAGAAAAACACAAACATAAGAGCTCTTTGCAGAGTATTTGCAGAACAGAATTATGTATAGAATGTTCTATAGAATCATCTATGGGTGATAACGTCTACAAAAATGTTCTATTATTTATACATGTGATATCACCAGAAAAGCAAAATTTTGCTCAATTGCCTTTAAAAAGGATACTGATATTTTTCTAAATTTAAAAAAATTATAGAAGTATTGCTCAGAACCCCAACTACTTTGGTTGGGGTTTTGGGGTTTTTTCTCATCAAAAATGACATGATAATGAAACAAGGAAATGAACCTATATTATTCAAGGGCCTGCTTTCTCTACACTTCATCTTGTTTGAAGTCACAGTTTCTAAGAACTTATAAATGATGGTGGTAATAAGGGTCACCATCGTCCTCGATGTCTCCTGTGAATTTATACTTTGTTACTTATGGATTAAGTAACTATGGTGCAATTTCCCCTGAATTCTGAGGTCCCATTGGAAAAATACACCATTAAAAGAACATTTGATTTCAGTTCCCACAAGCATAAGCCAAAGTTGAGGATCACAGATAGATAAATTAAGAACAAAATAAAGTAGTGTTTGTATATTCTCACCAGAGGACAGAACATTTAAAACAATAATACAAAACAAATCATCATAACTTAACTAACATTACATTTTATTTCTTGATCCACAGATCTGGGACTAATAGACTCCTTTAATAAAACCATTTGCTTCTGTGCTCAGTCCTATAAATTCCAATTTTTAAGTGCCTGGAGATAGTCTGACAGTTCTCAGTAGGTGGCAATGTCAGCTTAAATGTCTACATTTGAGCTGGTGATTTTATTCTCTACTGTGTCAAGAATCAAGAATAATTGTTCTTTCTTGTTTCTCTCAGAAGTCTCAGTTTTAAGATAGATGATAACCTACTTGTCGTAGCCTTCAGCAAGCATAAGAGAAAAGCAGGAAGCATCTGTCTGTAATAAGACAAGCTGGCTCTGCTTAATCACAGTCAGCCCTCAGTAACCTCATTCCTGCATCCTTGGATTCAACTGCCCAAAGAGGGAAAATGCATGCTACGTCGTAAGGTCTCCAGTGGTTGTGTCTATGCTGAACAGGTACAGACTTTGATTTCATTACTCCTCTTTAAAAATTTGTTTTTGTTAACTATAATAATTATAAAACAAAACTAACAGGCAACTATAAATCAGAGACATTCTGCAGGGGAAGAGGAGAGGAAGGAATCAAAATAGGGGAGGGAAGAACACAAGGAATGAGGTTCACGGGCGAATGTGGTGGTAGGAATTCTACAGGGACTATACCCGAGAGGTGAAAGCATACATTGTACAAAAAGGAAGAATGATGTAAAATAGATCGAAAAAATTTTATTATTTAATTTATTTTTGCTTAGATAAACTGGTGTATAAGCCAGAGGTGTGGTTGGGGAGGGTTTCTAGGGAAGGAGGGAAGGATGGGAGGACAGCGGGAGGCAGGACAGATTTACTGAAGCACACTGCTGATGGAGCAGCAAGCAAGACAGGAGAGGTCTGCTGCACCATGTGGCTCAGCTCCCTGGCTGGGGATTGAACCCAGGCAGTAGGGGTGATAGCACTGAGACTTTAACCCCTAGACCACGAGGGAAGTCCCTAGTTCATTATTTATGCAATACAGAATAACAACTGTTCACATCGAATTTACACTGTCCACAGTATTAAAATAATCTAGAGGTGCTTTAAAGTACACAGGATGATGATGTAGATTATTTGCAAATACTCTGCAGCTTTATATAAGGGACTTGACCATCCTTGGATTTGGATATCCGCAGAGTCTCTGGATCAATCCCCCTCAGATATAGAGGGGCAACTGTACAGTAAATAGAGTAGAATCTTCTAGAATCTGTATCACTATTTCACAAAAAGTCATTACTCTGCAGGTAAGAACACATCCTAGCCAGTGAGGGCACTGGCAAATGTTCCATCCAATAGAGCTTGTATCAGGCTTCCTAGTAATTGAGAATAGTACTTTAAACCCAGAAACAAAGTACTTTTTCTTAATGACTGTCACCTATGAATAGCCACCTTGCCGTCCTTGGAATATGAACAAGAGTATGATTTTACCCTTCTTGAAATATATACTGTCATTAAGATATTTTAATAATAAATATCAAGGGCAAAATCAACCAAGGAAAAGTCGAGCTGCTGTTTTTCTATTTTTCAGCTTTTTCCACGTTGTAATTTAAAATACACGATAGTTCCTTTGATAGTGTAGAATTAACATATAATAGTTGAAGACGGCCAAATACACCCAATTGCTTCCAGCCTTCATTTTATAAGGAGAAAGATTAAACGTTTGGCGCCACCTAGTGGTCAAAGGGGTAATGGCTACCTAGTGGGGAAAAAAACTCCCGAATTCGGAACCTGGATTTCAGGAAAGCAAAACAAATTAAGGACAGTTACCTGAGAGTAAACAATCGTTGTGACTTTTGTTACCCCAATAGAGTAACAACAAAACATTGTCAATTAAACATTAAAAAGCTGAAATAATAATTATAAGAAGGTTTATGTCTCATGGAAGCAGAGGACTTTGTTAATGTTTTGAAAATTACTTAATAACATTACAATATCAGCACAAAGCATTAGAAATTATCAGGATTTTGAGCAAGAGTATTATGATAAGAAATCTCTTCAAGCTGAGGTGATTACACTAAAGGGAAAAGCCTTTTCCTGCGCTCTGTTTAAGAGTGCGTGAATATTCCAAGACCAATTTTTAACTGTAAGTCCCGTGTTTTTACTTATTAGTTTTAACTCATCATTGTCTATTTTAAATATTTAGAAATATGTACCTATCTGGATGATAATGTTATTTAACATTTCCAGCTTTAAAATGTGATAGACCTTATTAATGCCATATACTAATAAATATACAACATTGAATGTATTGTCTCAATTTGTGTTTTGAAAAAAAAAAGATATTTGGACAAGAATACATATTTAAAAGCTGTTTGGGAGACCCAACACTTTTTTTTTGTCTTGATGAATGTTTATATCTTTAAGAAGTATGAAAGCAATCAAGTCACTTATTAATTAATCATGTTTAAATTAGTCCAAAGTCATAAAAATCACTTAGTTTGAGTCTTTAAAACAACATGATGGCTATTGATCTTTTAAGTTTTTCTAACAGGGTACAATTTTAAAATTTTACAAAGAGAAAGCAGAATAAGTCAGTCAAATGACTAAAATTCACAAGGACCAGTAAGGGAAAACATAAAATAAAAGCATCAGTTGTGATACTTTCATTAGAGTAAATGCATATACTTATATATAGGTTTGCTTCCCAGAAATTGAGACAACAAATGAATCTAGTAAGTCAGATTTTTTTTTGTAAGTCAGGTGTTTTCCAATTCTTTGCTTCCAACAAAATAGAAACAACACCTATCAAATTGTCAATTATTACATGATTTTTTAAATTTGATGATAGTTCACTGTGATTTACAAATCTGATTCTGCAAAATTTAAACAGTAAAGTAAAATTATGACAACAAAAGTCCATCTGTCATCACTTAATTATCTATGTATATGAAATTTCCAAAGACTTCTTACAGAAAAGGAAAATCCAAAATATCACTGATGCTAACTGTCATCTCTAGAAACAATTGTTATTCATTTACAGATAGATTAAATTCATTGGGAAAAATCCAGCTATCTCATTGAGAGTTTCATTGCCAATATAATTTTTATGGTTGAAAATTATTTGTAAAAATATATAAAAGTATATATACTGGTTTTGATTATTGTGTACTATCCCTACTTATAAGGATAAGTCAAATGAAATAAATGTTTGAACTTAGAATATTACAATCCTAGAAACTTTATATGGATTGTTTGGTAATGTGGTGATCAACCAAAAGAAAAAAAAAAACTAGCAGGTTTAAATTTGGTAGGAAAGTTGAGTATGAAATTGGGAAAATAAGAAACAGTCTGAAGTATCTGAATATTTATAGATATAAAACAGATGACTGCATGTATAAAATCTTAGATTTTTTTTTTAAATGGTGTGGCAGTTTTATTTTTTAAATGCCAACACTCACCATAGACTTACTGATTTAAGGTCATGATAAAATGTGGGGCACAGTAAGAAGCATTCCACCCAGCAGTAAAAATCAGAATTTTGCTGTCAACTTAAAGATGTATTAGACAGACTTCCACTTCTGGGAGACAGAGTAGATGTCCTTTTTTTTTTTTATTCCTCCTACTAGAACAACGGAAGGTCTTCGACATTATTATAAAATGAATACAAGTCTGAAAGGTGGGAGAAGAAGGCAGGTTGGCAAGGACTTCAGGATCCAAGGAAACACAGGATGGTGAATCCCTGGGCTTTCTCTTTGCCTTATGTTTATCCAACTAAGACTTGCCAGCAACCTGGAAACACTAACAGCCACAGGGAGAGAAAGTTAGGGCAGCCTAATGACACAACTGCTCAACTCCAACCAGCCACTCCAAAATTCTAACTCCACTTCCCCAAAGGCCAAGTGACAAGTCTAAACATCCATCCCGCCAGGAAGTAAGGAGTCTCCCAACCCCCAGTACACACACACACACACACACACACACACACACACACAGAGTGGTATCACAGTAAGTGAGGAGAGAGCATGGATCCTTCATCCCTTCCCAGTGAAAACAGGTCCCCTTCTCTCAATTCCCTCAGTGTCAATGGATACCCAAATGCTCTGCTTGGTTGTCAGACATCTAATGGACGCCAGGATTTCATCACCACCCAAAGCTAATCAGGCAACACCCCCACCTCCACTCTCACCCCCACCCCAGCCCACCCTCTCATGATCATCCCCAACATGGAGTCAGAACTGCTTCTCTGTGGGGAACAGTAACAGGCATTCCTACCCCAGCCAGCCAAGGAGCGATCAGTGGATGCCTGGTGGGGAGACAGAATTCCCATCCAGGTGTAACAAAGGAGCTCCCTGAGGTGTCAAGAGGCTGAATGGAGAACCTGAATTTCCACCCCCCCAAATCCCCCAACCACCACCACCACCCCACCACCCCCAGAAGTGAAGTTCACCCACCTACCCATGCTGGAGTAATGTCAGAAGAAGCAGGAAGTTTATATAAGACTGAGAACCTCATTATTATAACACCCCAAGCATCCAGGTTTCAATTAAAAATTACCAAGAACCCAGAAGATCTGAAAATGAGTGCAAAAGAAAGACAATAAACTGATGCCAAAATTGAAATAAAAGAAATACTAGAGAGCAGTTCTGCTGCCCACCTGCGACCATGCCAGCACCTCTCTTCACCCACCTTTTCCCTTTGCAAAGCAGCAGAGGCAGTGCCCCCACAGGCTGCTGGCTTCTCTTTCAGCAAACCTGTCCTTTTCAGGGCAGCTTTCTGTCCACTTGTGTCTGTGCAGGTGTCCTTTAGTCTCCTCTCCCTTTTTATAATAAACCTGTCCTTTTGCATAAAAAAAAGAAACACTTAAATCATCTGACAGCGTTTTTAAAGCCACCATCACAAAAAAAATCCTTCAGCATTCCATCCCCCTTTCCTTGCGCAGTTCTCCCCCTCCCCCGCGACCCCACCCCCAGCTTAATGACAGTCCATTCTATTGATGTGTCTGCAAAGAGAGACACATACTTCCTTAGTCCTGTCCTTAGTGCCCAAAATACCTGAACCGAGGAAACAGCTGCTCAGCCCGACTCAGTCGGAAGGAAGCGCAGGGCGCAAGACCCCACACCCGAGGGGCTCTCCCCACCCCACCATTCCCACCGAATTACCCCCAAACCAAAAACTGACCGGAACGTCACCAAGAGTCCCTCCCAAATTAATGGTGTAGGGCGTGGGTGCTGACTTCAGCTGTGTACTAACCTATGCTTTTCTTTCATCCAGCCTCCACGTAGGTCTTCAAAGGTAAGATTTTACATTTAAGAGCTCAATCTTTCGGTCATCGCTGTTTTGCTGTGGTCCTCTGAAGCAGGAAGGGAAAATGCTTTGTCTGCCTCAATGGCAGAAAGACACCGAGGAAAACATCTTCGCATTGTCTCCTTCCCCGATGACGCAGGAGTTTGTCTGGACGCAGGAGTTTGTCTGCGGCGTGCAGTGTCTGTAAAAGCACTGGGAATGACTGGGCAGGTGACCCCGTCTTGGAAGCAGAAGAAAATGGGGAGCAGGAATGACAAGGCAAAACTTTGCTCCAAGCGTGAATTCAGGTTGTTTACTGTGGAATTTTAAAATAAGAAAGAGGACTTTGTAAAAACAATGAATTTCCACTAGATGGTACTAGAGAATCACAGTCATCTTCAGTCTGACTCTGAAGGGCAAAAGGGCTCATTATGCTAAGAATAAACAAAACCCTGGAGCCCATTTGTAGCTGCAGCTATTTATGAATTAGCTCACCCTAGAGTTCAGTCCCTTCATGAATGTCAGATGGTACATATTATGCTTCACTGGCCAGTGCTTTCATCTTCATGACTGTCTATAACCAGTTTCTCTGTAAATGGACCTGAGATGCATCCTGATTAAAATTGAAGAATCAAGGTAGGTTGGTGGAGAGAGACACACACTGATAATAAAACTACATACTCTGCTTTCTTAGGTGAGTGAAATGGCAGTGATCCTCTCTGGACCTGCGGCATGCCTCTCCTAAATCTCCTGGAATTAGGGGTGTAAGAATGCTGAAGGAAAAGGGCTGTGTCACCCCGACCTGCAACACTTGGCCTGGTCTGGTCCAGGACCCTTCTTTCTGGCTTTGCCCCTCTCTATGCCCACTACTTTCACTCTTCCGCCACCCCACACTGGGCCCAGTTCTGCTCTAGCCAGTAGGCCTGAGATTCAGATTTTCTCACGTGTGATATGTTATTTCTTATTTCTCCAAGAGAGATTTGGTGTCCGACAACCACCTGTGTCATCTTGCAGAGACCCCTTGAAACACTGGCCAGGTTCACAGCACAGAGCTGGGCACCAGGGAATGAGGAAGGGACCCAGCTGTTTAATCCTTGAATGTGATATTTTAGTCCCTGGGTTGTGAAGCCTGTTCTCATGACAGTGTATGATACTAGCTATCATTCCTTTATATTATCTTGTTATGTGATTGGGAATCCCCCCCAACATTCTCTTTGTCTTCATTGGTCGTTTGCCTCTTCTTAAACTTGTGCCACTTCGTTTTTTTAGAATCAGTTTATTGAAATTCTTTGAAACATCCTATATAGGTCTTTCTAGGCATTTCATTAAAGCTCTAGATCATATTGGAGAAAACTGACATTTTTATACTGGTGAGGATTCCCAGCCATGAGTATGTATATGTAGGATAAATAGAAGTTATCCACCCCCCCACCCTCCCTCCCCACCCCCGTCATTAATATCTATGAATGGCACCTATGGTCTCATAGGCAAGCCTGATGGTGGACACCTGGAGTGTGGTGTGGGCATATGTAAGTGGGCACACCTGAGCCCACAGACTAAGGCTGTAAGGGCAGCGTCACACAGGAGAGCGTGTGGAGGAGGGCTGCTATGGCAGTAGCAGAATGACTATGGAGAGACTATGGAGAGAGGGAGACCACGAGAGAACATCAGCGTGAGCCCAGAGAAAGTAAAGATTTTACTGGGGGCTAGTGGGGCTACCCATCCCTCCGTCCCTGAGTCTTCCCTGCACCTGGTTGTCTCACTAAAACTGGTGTAGGAAGATTATTAAAAGGCTGAAACATATCACCAAGGGCTCCAGGACTCTTCTTAGAGAACCTGCCCCATGCCTTGTTGACACAATAAATCTCTCCACTTATACAGAACTTCTTCAACATTTTTCAATGTTTTTAACTTTCCCCATGAAGATCTTGCTTATTGTTTCTTTTTGAGAATTTACCCCTGATTACTACAAGTTTGCTCTCAAATGGGATAGTTTTATCACATTTTCTATTTTTTTTTGTTTTGACAGAAAAATGCAATTGATTTTATGTACTTATCATACCTAACTAAACCTCCATATTCATACGATTGAGATTCTTTGTATTTTTTTCTGTAGACAATCTTATCACTTACAAATAATGAAAGGTTGCTTTCTTCCTTTCCTATCTTTCTAACCCTTACTTCTTTCCTCCCCCCACCCTTTCTCCTTGGCTGTTGTTAAAAGTCCTCTGTTCTCTGACTAAAATTCTACTATGCGATTGTCCATTTCACAGTACAAAATGTTACTTTCTAAAAGGATCTGCCTCTTTCAATTCTTAGCCTTGAAATGTTGGTGACAAAATTCTTAGCAAGAAAGAAAAAAAAGTTCTTTCCTGCCCCCAAAGCTATGGAGAACAATTAATGTATTTTTTTAACATAAAACTGTCTTTGTAAATGATATTTCGAACAACAGTAACTTGTCAGACCCTTAGACTTCAAAGACGTTGGAGGTAAAAAGTCTTTAGCCTCCAAAATATCTGTAATTTTAACCAATCATCTTTTCTTTATAATTCTGTGTATCCTTATAATGTTGCTAACTCCATCATTTGTAGAAAGGTAAAATTATTAATACTTGGTTGGTTTTCTGCCAAACAAAACAATGATTGATCTTTTCCCCACAGAGACTCTATTGGAGTTTTTCTTAAAGTGTGAGTGACTGTTGTGTGATTGAACCACAGGGCAGTAATTAAGGAGGGTGATTTCCATATGATTTTAAAAAGCCAGTTAAGACGAATATCTACTTAGACCTCAATGGGAGGCTGCCTGTCTCTGTGATCTTTCCCTAGCTAGCTCAAAACTTTATTGTGAAAAAAAAATATTTTTACAGAGAATCCAGAGATATTAGAAAGTAAGAAGTTTATAGGATTAACTATGTCTAAATGTTTTTTGAAGACATCCCAGGGTGTGTCTCCAGGTGGAGTCTCATCTGTGAGTATGCTAACAATGGATCACAGCAGGCAACCCAAATTTGTGTGCATCAGAATTGCCAGCAGGACTTGTTAAGATGCAGATTTTGGGGTCCCACATCCAGAGTTTCTGATTCAGCAGGTGTGGGTTGGTACTTGAAAATTTGCATTGTAAACACCTTTTCAGCTGAGACCATGTTGTACAGTAGTTGTAAGAACTACTGTAATTCTGGCGTATATCATCATTAATTTCTCTAAGTTCATCAAGTTTTCTCTGATTTGAGGTGATCTTGGGGGGAAATGAGACTGAGATAGAGACTACTCCCCCAGACTGCTGGTGGACACAATGCAAAGCATTGAGGTTCCAATTTAGACAACTAGGGGGACAGTTTTTCCTCGGTGGCCCCAAAACTAAAAAAAAAGAAGAAGAAGAAACAGGGAAAGTACATGATTTTTTTTTTCTCTTCTAGATGTATATTCTCCTTCCTTGTCCTTGGGAGGCAAATGCTACTGTATAATTTTCAGCTTTCCCAAGAAGTGAGTTATAGTCTTTCTGAAAGTAGGTAGGGGTCTGAGGAAGACTGATTGGAGGGGGTGAGGGAAACTAGACTTCAGTTTAGGGAGCAGAGTCTGTATTTTTCAAACTTTTTTAAACGTTATATGCCTGCAAATACACTACATTCACACACACACAAATATATTTAACTGAAACCTTTCACGAAACTTACATTCACTTCTGTGAGGCAGATTGGTATTTTTTTTACTCCATGCCACTAAAATGTATAACATATTCATGTTTTTATTTTATATAGTATTTCACAAAGTTACAAATAACATAGCTTATGTACAAGTATTTATGGATATTTACAAATATTCATACAAATATTTACAAATATTCATCCTTTATGGATGATATATTGTGCATTAGTGGAATGGAATAAATGAAAGGAACATAATAAAATATTTGTACATAAACTATGTTGCTTATGTGTGTGTGTGTGCTTTCAGGGTTATGGATTTTCACATCCCAACATTTCTACATCCATGAAACCTGAGGCTTCAGGTTATTCTGTTCAGTAACAGGTGACATACCTATGGTGGTCAACGAAGAATGGGGAAAATTCCAGGGTTAGTTAAGATTCTCATTTATCAAGTAGTCTGGAGTGGACTTAGATTTTAAGTTCCTGCTTAGTGTTGTGGCATCTGAAGAATCCGATGAAGCTAGAAGCCCCTTTCACGCCACCTGCCGCTGGGCGGAGCGCGTGAGTGGGGAAATTGAGGTGAGAAGCCCTGGAGTTGAGCACCCCCAGAAGAGAAAGGCTCGAGCGATTACACGCCTCGCGCTCTGCGATCTTCTACCTGCGCCCTTCCAACTCCTCCCCGGACCCCTTTCCTGAGCCCGCCGCCGCCTCTTTTCCCTCCATGGCCGGGTCTCTTCTCTCCACCCTTTTTTCCTGCCGGCTAGCGAGTAATTCGCCGCAAGGCAGCCATTCAGGGTGTGCAGGAGCGGAAAGTTTAGAAGCCAGACCCCGAGTCTGCTGAGAGGAGGAGTCAGGTTGCGGGTACAGCCGCCTCCAGGCGCCGAGCTGGAGGGAGGACCGGCGGGGGG